TGGACTTTCTAACTTTAAACTTTTACCTTTTAAATGCCTTGACTGTATCAAGAGAAAGCCACATGCTCTTGTTCCTAGTTCCTAGAAGGAGAGATGATACTGAAAAACTTATTTTTCCAAGTACACCGAACTTGGTGAGAGATTAAGTTCTGAAATAGAAACTTTGCTTTAACTTTACTCATAGGGGCAGTGCTTGCTTGAGAAATCAAAGAGTAGCTGTTTTTAAGTGACTGCAAGTGGGTGCCTGTCCATACATTGTCTTTAAAGATTTGCCTGGCAGGTTTTTTTTTAAAAAAAAGCATTTATGTTGGGCCTTCGTCTGTGTATAAAACATTGCTAATGGAGTAAAATAAAGGACCTAGGACTTAAATTTGCCTCTTTTGAGTTTGGACTGCTAATGAAAGCTGTATAGAATTGCTGAATAAAATGACACTGATGTCTAGAAATGTCACAGTTGTGCTTGTGTTTCTACCTTTTCTTAAAACCCTGTTTTAGGAAATTGATGAAAAGCTCTTAGTAATTAGAGAAACTTCCAATTTGTTCCTTTTTCAGTGATGTAATCTGATTGCAATTAGAGCAGATGCATAATTAAAATATATTGGGGAGAAGAGCATGCTTGGCTGAGCTTATAAGCCATTCTGGGGGGTTTGTATGGTCCATTGACGTTAAATCATCCAAAAAGTGAGCAGAAGTTTACTCTGACAGCATTTCATCAGCCCCTTTCTGTATGGGAAGTGAATAGATCCCTTGGGTGTGAGTGAACCTGCCCTTCAATAAAGTGTTTGCATTGATAGGAATTTTCTTACATGACTGTAATTTGATACCATAGTATCTAAAATACCCAAACTAAGCTGTTTGTAAGATTTATAGATGGAAAATTTGAAGTTCTGCTTTTATATCTCCATTAGTTTCATAATTATCACTAAACACTAAACAGTATTCAGTGGCTTCAGAGAGAGTGTTTGGAGAGGATTGTTTATAAAGACAAACTGAGGGAAAGCCGAGTGTAGAAAAGCTATCTGTGAAGCCTTTTTAGAGGGAAATACACAGAAAGGAAAAGAGGCATCCTTGCTCTACAAATCATTTGCCCTGCAACACAATCTGCCCATGTTTAATCAGTGAATAGTGCATTTGAGAAGTTTCTTTTGTTTCAGATGTGTTGCACCTGTTGTTATTGGGGAGTTAATGTTAAAGTTAACTCATATGTTCTTTTTGGTTTTACAATGTTGAATGCCAATTTCTGTATCTTTTTAGTTATATTAGAAATAAAGAACTTATGAATTCTTTAAGATATTTAATAAAACCTTTAAAGTGTATTGTAGTTCGGTAGTGGTTTTTAAAGGTAGAAAACAAAATAATGCAAAATCCACACAATCTGGGTGAACCCTGTTAATACTAAGTTGCTAGTGTCAGGATATTAAACTGTGGAATGCATTATAACCATGGCTGATAAACTTTGTTTATTTACCAGTAAATTGATTTATCAAATTAATATGCTGCCCATCCCGTGGTTCAGCTTACATCAAGATAAAACAAGCATTCAGCAATTATAAATATAAAAATGGATTAAAATTACAAAATTAAAAGAAGCTAAAAAACACAGGTTTGGAGACAAGAGATGGGGTGCCTTCTCTGTCAGTCTACAGTACGCACCTGACTCTTGACATGCTTACAGATATGACAGTTATACTTAGTTTTCTAAGAAAGGCTGCAGTTGTCTGAAAGACAGATTGACGAAACATACTTGTACCCCCAGTTTGTTGGTTGAAGCTAGATCGTAATTCAGAACATTATTCAAGAACATGAACGAAAAGTTTGTTTGTTGTCATTTATTTTTTGTCATTTGTTGATCCTTTGTCTAAAGATCATTGTTGTTCTAGCCATAATTGTACCTTAATGTCATTAGACAAAGTTAGCAACACTTAAATTTTAGCCTATTTATATTTTTTTCATTCATATAATAAGGGGGTATTAAGCTCTCATCAATTACACTGTATTTTAAGCTGTAGGCATGTTAAATTTCTCTAAAAACTAGAGTCTTAAATACTCACTGAATCCTGAAATATACTGCCATGTGTGAACTAAGATTATTGATTATTTTGTGTGCTAGGCCAAATAATTTTATATTATTCTGGGGAGAAAAGAGAAATTGCAAGAGTTTGAAGGCTTTCTCTATACTACTCTTCCGCAATTATTTTGAGAGTTAAGTCCTTAAGCTGAAATGTTGCACTAGTCACAGAGTTACGTTTGTCAAGCTCCCTCTACAAAAATATATATGTTTAAGACAGCAGAACAAAGCAAACCTCCTACAAAAATGAATATAGATAATTTTAATGAAAATAGGTGCCTGTAAAGTGTCCCAAAGGTGTTTTTTCAAAAGGCAACTGTTTTTTCCTTGAAGATGTTTTGCTTCTCATCAAGAAGGTTCTTCAGTTCTCTTCTTCAGCTTCTTGGCTGAGGAGTGAAACAACTTCAAGAAAAATAAACTCCAGTTTCTTTTGAAAAAGTACCTTTGAGACAACCATGACTTGGATGATTGAGAACCTCCATAGACATATGCCAGTAAACATTGGTGGGATCCTACCATTTTAACAACTGGTTCGGTGATCGTGTGCTTCGCTTACTTTGCTCGTGCACATGCCTGATGCATGCTGTGTGCACGTGCACAATTTTGAGAAGACTTCCATATTACTGTTGGGGGAGAAAACAGCTGAGGTGCGGCANTATAGAAACACAGAGAAAAAACAAGGTGAATAAAAAATTATAAGAGAAATGCTGAAATAATCATTAGACAAAGGAAAAGTGCATCTGTCTTACACCTCAGCAGGTGGCAGCATTTAACTGACCTTGATTTTGAATGCTAAGAAGGGTCATCTTAGGTTAATATTTGGATGGGTCCTATCTGGGGATTCTTAGCATTGTGAATAAGGGTGAAAGTTGTAGAAACCTCCAAGAAGACAAAGGCAAGCCATTTTTATAACTCTGCTTAGGAAACTATATATATGTAGTAAGAAGAGCTGGAGCCAGACATGAAAGAAAAATTACTATTTTAAAACTACCTTAGTGCAAATTTGAACTAAATAGTAGATATCTACATTATTATTTTTTACCAGGCTGGGTAAAGATTTTGTGGGCAGGGACTACCGTAAATTGTCTTTTGCTGAAAGCTATAGCAATATCCAGCAATTCAGCTGAAAGTTTTCTGGGGAGTAGGAAAAAATAAATAGAGCTCGGGGGTACAGGATGCCCACACTTGGATTAAACAGAAAAGGCTTCCATTTGAAGCATTTAATCATTTGTCACAAATTATTTCTAAACCTTATTTGTGTTGGGCACTGCCTCAAGCATGCTGAAAAAAAAGACGACTAGCACATGTTTTAAATTTTTCAATTAAGGAAAAACATTATTCACACTTGATTAGTGCAGGAAGGAAGGAATCTGTTCTTCTCTTTAGCTGCGATTATCAAAGAGGAAAATCCAGCGATAGATTATGTGGAGCCAACATTAAAATCCTTCAGGTAGAAGGCCCAATATACTCAACAGCCCCCTGAAAAATAGTGCTATCTGCTGAAGTTTGAACAGGGCTCTCAGCATGTTAATATTTCACGCATAATGCATCACAGTTCTAAAATTACCCTGATTGGCGATGACACTTTGGAACTAACTGAACACAGCAGGGAGAACTGGTGTCATTTTAAGATGGGCTTCAAAAGAGCGCATAAAGGATTGCCAGGGAAAGGCTGGCATGGTCTAGTAGTCTTAGGAAGTCTTCAGAAAGTGGTGTTGTATAATGAGAAATGGGAAGAGGTTTTTTTTTTTTAAGCATTAGGATTTCACCCACGTGCCTGGGCACGCAGTGCTCTCTCAGGCTGGTGTGTCTTGTGCTGTGTCACTTCAAGAAGCGACTATACAGTCACTTCTACTGTATATTATAATATTAATGCAATATCAGGTTTTCAATTCAATTGTATACAATGTGAAGGATGTGTGTTTGTGTTTTATTTTTATAGTTATATGTACACTGAAGATGGCATTTAATTTCCTTGCATGAGGTGCAATGGCAATAAAGTAAACTAAAGTAGCTTAAAAAAAAGGAGCACTCTTGTTGCAGGTGGTGGGCAGAAAGCGAGGCACACTGCCCATTAATTGAGGCTTGCAATTGGTGATTGGATAAAAATAGTGGTGTTGCTTGCCTTGACCACATAGCAGGGCTACAGCCATTGGCTGTGCCTGTTTGTTCTATTCCTGCAGATGGAAATCTCCCAGGTGTGTGTCCTGAAACCACACACAGAGGGCGAGGGCTTTGCTTTCTTCCATTTCTCCTTTCCTACAACCTGGGAGGTATTTTAGGGAAACTTGTATATTAAACAGGCCGGGTCTCTCCTAAATAGGTTGCTAGATACACTCCCTCAGCCACCCACCCACCCACCTCTTTGTCCTAGAGTGCCAGATTTCAACCCCCACTTGGCTCAACAATATTGTTTCTCCGCGGGGAGGGGGAGTTGCCAGATGACTTGCTTTTGAATAGCGGGCAAGGATGGAAAGCCTGTGCTAGTCGCAGAGCCGGCCGGTCTCTTTCTTCCCTCCTCTTTAGCTTCTCCCTCGCCTCCCCTTCTCCTCTCCTCCAGAACCGCCTTTACAAGTAGTGAGCTACGGGATTTGTTCCTCGGCGGAAAAATAAAATAAATAAAGGCAGCGGCAGGAAGAGGCAGCAAGCAAAGCAAGCAAGCGCCGCCGAAACCGAGGGGCGGAAGGCGGACTGTAGCGAGAGAAAGGGGCGGACCAGAGGGGGATGGCACGCAAGCGCGAAGGAAGCTCGGAGAGCCCCACGCGGGCGCTCGCGGAGCCTCGGCGGTGGTTCTTTCAGTTCAGCTGCGAAGGGGCCTCGGGGCGGTAGGGAGTCGGCAGGCGGAGTGAGCCGCCCGCTATTGGGAGAGCGGAGCAAGGCGGGCAAATTCCGGACAAGGGTTTGGTTTGAAAGGCGGAGCGGCAGCCGCTCTCGCCCTGCCCGCCCGCCCGGCCATGGGGTAAAAAAGGGAGCGAGCGAAACGGGCACCGAAACAATAAAGCGGCTGGTGCTACCGGGCTCCTCCCGCCGCTGACAGCGCCTGGCCGAGTGCGGGGAAAGGAGCGAAGATGCCGGGGGCCGGCAGGCATTGACCGACCCACCCCCTAGCAGGAGGAGGAAGCCGAAGTGAAGCAAGGCGGTTGAGAAAGCGCGCGGTGGATGCGTTACGGGGTTTGGAGCAGCGACGGCAGCAAAGGGAGAGGCGGAGGTCGGCAGGAGCGGAGCAATGATCGCGGAGTTGGTGAGCAGCGCCCTGGGGCTCGTCCTGTACCTCAATACCCTGGGCGCGGATTTCTGCTACGACGACAGGTAATAAACGGAGGAGTTGGAGCTGGAGAGTTGGCGGCTACTCCGGCTGAGCGGCTGCTGCGAGAGGCCGTGCCCTTTCCCCGGGGGATGCCCGCTTGTGTGTGTTGCGTGTTGGGAATGGGGCTTTGCGGTTGTGTGTTCGTAGGGAGGAATGGAGGTTGCGGGACGCGAGAGCGCTCTCTGTGCGAGGTGCTCGGGTGGATGCGGCGACTCCTCTTAAGTCAATTCTAAACCTTTCAGTCCCCGAGGTTCTCCTTCACCTGTTGAAGCGGGATTACTCCGATCATTCCTCTTTTTCCTCTACTGGGTAGTTTTTCGCCCATTTCCCCGCCACCTGGTAAATGGAGTTGCTGTTGCAAGTACTCTGCTGTCGAGAAAAAACTCAGATTTCCTCGACTGTCAAGTTACTTTGGTCGAACTAGCCCTACCGGGAATAAACAAAAGAGCCGGGCGGCTGGTAGCGCCAACCGGTCTAATTATAATAAACCTCTAATCCCTTTTCCCGGATCGCTTTTTTCTGTTCCTTTGCAAATGTACCTGCGCTTCATGGAAGGAACAATCTGCTTTGCTTGAGGCTTAATTACATGACCATGTGTGCATGCTATGGTATTTTGTGCCGGAGAAGTGTTATGTTTTCCCTCCCTTCAAAGCAACACCTTAATAGGCCGTTTAAACGATGTTACATCTGGACAAAAAAAAAGGAAGGAGGGGGGAAAAAGACACCACACTTTGAATTGTTTCAATTTGTTTCTCTTGACATTCTTGTTTCCAGAGCATAACTTACTTCTGATATCCTCTTAGATTCTCATACACATAGTAAATAAAGAAAATGGAAATAACCTTAACATTTCAAAAGTAGTGATCTGAATCTGGACTTTCTAACTTTAAACTTTTACCTTTTAAATGCCTTGACTGTATCAAGAGAAAGCCACATGCTCTTGTTCCTAGTTCCTAGAAGGAGAGATGATACTGAAAAACTTATTTTTCCAAGTACACCGAACTTGGTGAGAGATTAAGTTCTGAAATAGAAACTTTGCTTTAACTTTACTCATAGGGGCAGTGCTTGCTTGAGAAATCAAAGAGTAGCTGTTTTTAAGTGACTGCAAGTGGGTGCCTGTCCATACATTGTCTTTAAAGATTTGCCTGGCAGGTTTTTTTTTAAAAAAAAGCATTTATGTTGGGCCTTCGTCTGTGTATAAAACATTGCTAATGGAGTAAAATAAAGGACCTAGGACTTAAATTTGCCTCTTTTGAGTTTGGACTGCTAATGAAAGCTGTATAGAATTGCTGAATAAAATGACACTGATGTCTAGAAATGTCACAGTTGTGCTTGTGTTTCTACCTTTTCTTAAAACCCTGTTTTAGGAAATTGATGAAAAGCTCTTAGTAATTAGAGAAACTTCCAATTTGTTCCTTTTTCAGTGATGTAATCTGATTGCAATTAGAGCAGATGCATAATTAAAATATATTGGGGAGAAGAGCATGCTTGGCTGAGCTTATAAGCCATTCTGGGGGGTTTGTATGGTCCATTGACGTTAAATCATCCAAAAAGTGAGCAGAAGTTTACTCTGACAGCATTTCATCAGCCCCTTTCTGTATGGGAAGTGAATAGATCCCTTGGGTGTGAGTGAACCTGCCCTTCAATAAAGTGTTTGCATTGATAGGAATTTTCTTACATGACTGTAATTTGATACCATAGTATCTAAAATACCCAAACTAAGCTGTTTGTAAGATTTATAGATGGAAAATTTGAAGTTCTGCTTTTATATCTCCATTAGTTTCATAATTATCACTAAACACTAAACAGTATTCAGTGGCTTCAGAGAGAGTGTTTGGAGAGGATTGTTTATAAAGACAAACTGAGGGAAAGCCGAGTGTAGAAAAGCTATCTGTGAAGCCTTTTTAGAGGGAAATACACAGAAAGGAAAAGAGGCATCCTTGCTCTACAAATCATTTGCCCTGCAACACAATCTGCCCATGTTTAATCAGTGAATAGTGCATTTGAGAAGTTTCTTTTGTTTCAGATGTGTTGCACCTGTTGTTATTGGGGAGTTAATGTTAAAGTTAACTCATATGTTCTTTTTGGTTTTACAATGTTGAATGCCAATTTCTGTATCTTTTTAGTTATATTAGAAATAAAGAACTTATGAATTCTTTAAGATATTTAATAAAACCTTTAAAGTGTATTGTAGTTCGGTAGTGGTTTTTAAAGGTAGAAAACAAAATAATGCAAAATCCACACAATCTGGGTGAACCCTGTTAATACTAAGTTGCTAGTGTCAGGATATTAAACTGTGGAATGCATTATAACCATGGCTGATAAACTTTGTTTATTTACCAGTAAATTGATTTATCAAATTAATATGCTGCCCATCCCGTGGTTCAGCTTACATCAAGATAAAACAAGCATTCAGCAATTATAAATATAAAAATGGATTAAAATTACAAAATTAAAAGAAGCTAAAAAACACAGGTTTGGAGACAAGAGATGGGGTGCCTTCTCTGTCAGTCTACAGTACGCACCTGACTCTTGACATGCTTACAGATATGACAGTTATACTTAGTTTTCTAAGAAAGGCTGCAGTTGTCTGAAAGACAGATTGACGAAACATACTTGTACCCCCAGTTTGTTGGTTGAAGCTAGATCGTAATTCAGAACATTATTCAAGAACATGAACGAAAAGTTTGTTTGTTGTCATTTATTTTTTGTCATTTGTTGATCCTTTGTCTAAAGATCATTGTTGTTCTAGCCATAATTGTACCTTAATGTCATTAGACAAAGTTAGCAACACTTAAATTTTAGCCTATTTATATTTTTTTCATTCATATAATAAGGGGGTATTAAGCTCTCATCAATTACACTGTATTTTAAGCTGTAGGCATGTTAAATTTCTCTAAAAACTAGAGTCTTAAATACTCACTGAATCCTGAAATATACTGCCATGTGTGAACTAAGATTATTGATTATTTTGTGTGCTAGGCCAAATAATTTTATATTATTCTGGGGAGAAAAGAGAAATTGCAAGAGTTTGAAGGCTTTCTCTATACTACTCTTCCGCAATTATTTTGAGAGTTAAGTCCTTAAGCTGAAATGTTGCACTAGTCACAGAGTTACGTTTGTCAAGCTCCCTCTACAAAAATATATATGTTTAAGACAGCAGAACAAAGCAAACCTCCTACAAAAATGAATATAGATAATTTTAATGAAAATAGGTGCCTGTAAAGTGTCCCAAAGGTGTTTTTTCAAAAGGCAACTGTTTTTTCCTTGAAGATGTTTTGCTTCTCATCAAGAAGGTTCTTCAGTTCTCTTCTTCAGCTTCTTGGCTGAGGAGTGAAACAACTTCAAGAAAAATAAACTCCAGTTTCTTTTGAAAAAGTACCTTTGAGACAACCATGACTTGGATGATTGAGAACCTCCATAGACATATGCCAGTAAACATTGGTGGGATCCTACCATTTTAACAACTGGTTCGGTGATCGCGTGCTTCGCTTACTTTGCTCGTGCACATGCCTGATGCATGCTGTGTGCACGTGCACAATTTTGAGAAGACTTCCATATTACTGTTGGGGGAGAAAACAGCTGAGGTGCGGCAATCTGCTCTGCTATGCGACTCAACTGAGAAGATAAAGGTCAGTAAAGCACAGGGGTAGGCGGGTGGGCCCACTTGATCATTGGAGCGAACTGGTTCGCTCCCAGCTGATTGTTAGAGCTACCAGTTTGCTCGAACTAGTCCAAACTGGTAGAATCCTACCCCAGCCAGTATTTTAGGAGCTTTGTAAGATTAGATGATACCCTAATTTTTATACAATAAGATCATTTTCTTAATGATAAAAAATGAAATTAACATGCAGGTATGACTTAGAATGAGGTTACCTATAGTTCCTCATTCTATTGTGATGTCAAAATTCATTTTAATTATAATTAAATGTTAATACAGGTAATTGACTTGTGACTTTTCACTTAACAGTGATTTAAATTAACAATAGCCTTTGAAAAAGTAACTTATGACCTAAATGTGAACTTACAACTGTCATACATTTACATGGTAATAATTCTGATGCTTAGCATCCAGCTTGCAGTTTTAACAAGTTGCAGCATCCCACGGTCATGTGATCATGATTTGTGACAAAAAACGGCAAACAACTTTGGGAAAACTAGATTTGGATTTAGAACCATGTGAGTCAAATTACAACTCTGGTATCCCCCAATTACAACTGCAATAAAAATAGTCATAAAATTGGGTGCAGTCACATAATGACTTGATTCATGACTGCAACAACTCATTATAGAAATTCTGATCCCAATTGTGTTTTGAAGAGATTTCACTCACTCATTACATGTACATGCACCTAGGTTTATATACATGTACTATAAGTAGCTTTGAAAATATATTGCAGATGTATTTGTTAAATAAATTATAACAATGAATAAACTCTCATTGATTGTTATAGAATAAATAACCTGTTTCTTTAGAGTTTATAATGTTCTCTTGATAAGTAAAAAAGTAGTAGATAGGAATTCAGACAGAACATAAATTCTTCTGGTGTTAATGGGCAGATCAAATTAATCCCAAATGTTCTTAAATATAATGTGAAAACAGTTCAGATGGATCATCCTGAGACCTCTTTGTATTCCACTATCCCATTATTGTTTGGTTTGATTTATATCCTATGTTTATTTTGTACAATTCAATATGGTAGCCACTAGTTTTGGTAGTTTAATTTCATGGAACATAGGTGATCAGTCGCAATCACTTTGGATAGCTGTAGTTATCTTCACTGTCAAAGGGGTGATTCCTCTAAAAAAACAGGGAAGCAACATCAAAAAGAGGATACACCTTCATGTTTGGGATTTTCAAAGAGGCATCTGGTATGTCACTATGCAAAACAGGATTTATGACTAAACAAGCCTAGGCCTGATATAGAGGAAATGTTCTTTTGTTCTTAAATCCCCATATGATATCCTTTATGGTGTATCTTGTTTCAACCAAAGTTTAGTT